TAGACAACCAATTAGTACTAGTTTAATTCGCTATCATAACTTTTCTAAGGGTTTAGTCTTAAAGAGGAGGTTATGGGTTCAACTCTCCCTAAGGGAAAGTTAAATTAGGAGGCAAACACTTGATGTTTTTGAAAAGATGGAAATGTTAACTCCCATATAAGTACCAATCTACCAACTAACAACTAACTTTTATCGGTAAAAAAAAGAGGATATTGTCTAGACCCGCGGGATTCATGATGCGCTCAACACATGTACTCTTTACTTGCTTATGCATTCATAGCACAAGATTTTACTACTCAAGCTGATAAAAAAATATATATATAAATGTGATAAAATTAAATAATTATGATTATTGAACCAATCTAACTTTTTTTATGACTGATTTACACACGAGTTTTTTTATTTTTTTTATTTATTTTTGTACATTAGTTTATAAAATAAACGTATCGAATCATTAATGTAATATAATTGAGTGTGAAGGGTACATATCATTATCTGTTACCAAAGAATCAATAACATTAAGAAAATCCAATGAGATAGCTCCATAAACCCTTTTGTGGATTACTGTTAACAAAGAAGGCAGAAAAACAATGAGAGATAGGTTGGAAAGGAGTAGCCTAGTTCTTCATATTTCTAATTGAGTTTTGAGTTGAAAAATGACTAAGTGATAAATTTGAATTATGAATTTAGATAAGAATTTGAAGAAAAAAAATACTATTTTATATTGTGTTGGACCATTTTAATATCATTTATTTATTTATTTATTTTACCTATGTGAGCATGAAAGTGGGGCCGCTCTCTATGAGAACAATGCTTTTCTCAAAAATGCTCATGAAAACTGGACTAGCACAATGCCGTAATGTGCTGACTATTAAAGCTCATGTCAACACCTAGACTAATATGTGTGAGCAGTAATACTTTATTTCTCCTAAGCAGTTATAGTTCAAGTCTGAGATCACTACTGACTCTGGAGTAGAGGTTGTTGTTTCACTAATGAAGGTTTAATGCAAAGCACACCTTCATGATGCATACTAATCTATCTTTGTTTGGTAATCTCTATTGTCCTTGTTGATATTAAAATGAGTGGGGGATTGTTGGACCATTTTAATATCATTTATTTATTTATTTTTGTTCATGAATCTTCCTTTTGTCTTGTTCATGAATCTTATCTTGTTCATGAATGGAGATTCATTGCCTTGGTGTCCTTTTGTTTTGTTCATGAATTAAGATTAATTAGAATTCATGAACTTTGTGGTGAGTTAATATTTGGTACACTCTCCCTTTTCTCTAAGTTCATGGCCATTATTGTTTTTTGATGTATTTTGTATGTCTTAGTGGCCTATAAATAGTCCATCTCATATACTTTTTTTTTATATCAACTCACCAACTATTTTTCTATACTTGAGAGATTACTAGCAAAGAATGGTGTTTTTCTTGGTGGAGTTTTGGGTTCACCATCTTGTGCAGAGTTGGCTTGAACCATACGACAAGTGGTCGGGCTGTTGTATCCTGGAGGGAACAAGTCATTGTTTGTGACTGCTGCATCGATATTTAGATTCTTCCTACCGCAGTGGGCTTGATCTCTTTAAAGAAAACGAGATATCCGTGCTTCAGCCTGATCTATTTGTATCTCATTTTCTTTGCATTCTTTATCAATAAAATATATTTTTTTCTAGTATTTTCACCAACATGCTTCATTCATATTTCTTTCACCTTTATCCTGTCTACTAAATTCCTATCAAAAGCAATGATCCAAATACAACCTAAGAGTCACATTTATGTAGTGATTTGTATGCAAGTCGGCTCTACTTTTTTGGAGCCCATGGCAAGCTAAAAAATATTGGCATATTTAAAAAAAAAATTAAAAAAAAAATTATTCATAAAATAGTATCTTTATTTTTAACTATTTCCTTTCTACCACCCAATCATTCTCTGGTCTTTTTGAGTTTATTTTTTTCATTTGTTCCTATCACTGTATGTAATCTTAACATAAAATTACTTAAATTGTACTCACGAACTTATACAAATTTGTATTTTATGTAAAACTTACATACGGTATGCACTTTACATTGAAACACTTCTCTTCATTGATTTGTGTTTGTTTGTAGATTCAAGTTTGAGATTTAAGTGTGATTGATTATCTCTGGTTTAATTTCATTGTAAATTGTTTCCGTATGGATTGCTCCATTGTTGCCTTGTGTGGTGTGATTGGACGCGCTATTAATCAAACTTAGCATGCTGCCGATGGATGCTGAATTCTGATGCAAGGGGCGAATTTAGATTAGAGGACGCTATTTGGGCTTGTGGGACTTATTATGGATCCTCTTTTGATAATCCAAATTGTTCATTTTGTCGAGCACTTTGTGTATTTCATCTACAAAAAATATTAGGTTAATCCAATAACTGTAACTTGTTCAATTTATCACATTTTTCATAAAAAAAATTAGATGATAAGTGTATTTTTATTAATAAATTATACATTTTTTAATAATAAATGTAATAAATTGTACAAGTTACAATTATCAGATTGATCTAATTTTTTTGTGAATGAAATACACAAATTGCTTGACAAATGAGCTGTATAGATCATTAAAATGGAGCCTCTGATAGGCGTCATGGGTTCAACAGTGCCCTCCAATTTAAATTTTGGACAGAGGAGATCATCTTCCAACAAGAATTTCAAAAAGGAAATATAAACTATAATATCAATTTTTATGGACGCAAAAGGTCAAAAATGGCATAAACATATATATAAATAAATATGTTCTCTTATATGTAATGAGTTATAAAAGATCTATTTTAAGGTAATCTGTTGATATTAATTGTGAGAAACTAAAATTTGATGTTATGTGTTGTCAAAATTGGTAAATTTTATAGTTTGAACCTCACCTTTCATAGATAGAAAAGTGTAGGCCGTGCAACCACTTTCTTCTTCTTTTTTTATTTTTTTTCTAACTTAGAAAAAGCGAATATGTATAATTTAAAAATAATTAATAATTAATACTAATATGTAAAGAATTTTTTAAAATTATAGGAGAACGATCTTTGCTTCCTCCAATAACAAAGCGTTAAAATTGAGAGCTTTCATGATATTTGTAGTTGGCTTTTGTAGCATAACGGTAAGGTTGGCTCTTTCACCTTGTCCTTTTTCTCTCATGGATTTTTTTAAGGTAAATTTTTATATTACAGTGCAAAACATTGGGAAAGTTCACAAAGTTTTATGGAATAATTTTTTATTTTTCAAATAAAAAAAGTTAGAATGTTTTCAATTTTCATTTGATGATTTTTGTAATTTCAATATAAAAAGTACGAATATTTAAAGTTTTTACAATTTTGAAAATGAATATTCACCTTCAAGAATATAAATATTCATATTTACAACTAAAATTTTATGTATATATTCATATTTTACAATGTTCACATTCACATATATGAATGTGCTATTTTCGAAAATGCGAATTAACTTGCGTGTTTTTTTTTTTTGGTTATGGCATAGGACTTTTTGGAATAGCAAAAAGTTGGGACAAGTTCCATATATGAGATTTTTTTATTAAAGTCCCCCAAAATTTATAAATAAAATTGCAAGATTTTTATCCGTTCATAATCACTTAAAATATTAGATGACAAATCTAATTTGAAAATATTGTGTTAGTGAGTGAATCAATTATAATTTATTCATCAATATTTCTTGAGCAATTGATTTTTATAGTTAACCTAAATTATAATTATTGAGATAGACATAAACCATAATTATTAACAGAGATTATGGATATTTTTCGTGGGTAATATTATTAATTAATTAATTTATTTTTTGTCATAGCTGATTGAATGTACAACTCGATCAACTTCAATCTAAATTTTTTTGTTTCTCTAGAGGCTATTGTAATTGGTATAATCAATAATATTTGATAAACGATCTATATATTTGACAAACAATCATCTATTATTTTTAAATAATTCACCACTTCAATTATTTTTATAAAAAAAGGGGTAAACTTTATCTTTAAACTACTAATTCACTTGAATGATCACTCATTCTCTTCTTTAGAGGATGGTGGATGATGGTTCTATTTAATGTTTTACAGTTTTTTAATAAATCAAATATATAATATGCAAATTAAAATTATTTAAAAACTATTATTTAGAATTTAGAAACATAAGAGGACACACTGTCTTGGACTGGTTAGGTTTGTTGTTTAGCTAGGAAACTTCTTTGCGTAGCCAACCTATTAAAGTCAAAATAGGACAAATCATCAAGAGTAAGCCTCTCTTATCCAACTTTTATCTACCTTAATCTAGACAAATGTTTAAAAATTTATAATTTTTTTTAGATAGGAAAAAATTATATGATTAAATGAGAGAGACTTCATATGATTAAATGTGTGATAAATAAAAAATTATGCCACGTCATTATGGACTAAAGTGTTCAAAATATTTCTTTAATTTATATTAAAAAAATTTGAAGGTAAAACTTGTAACGGTAAGCTATTCCATTTTGATTTGATTGTTAATGGTTTAAACCTAAATTCTGAAGGAAAAAAAAAAAAAAAATCAAACGATAAAACGACGTTGTTTTTTCTTTAGGGGGATTCGGGGGCAGCTCCTTTCGAGCTACGTAGCATGGTCCAAAAAGAAAATATGAAAAGGTCAAAATAAGCCCAAAAAAAGTATACTATTTTTAGCTTATTTTGTCTTTTCTTAACTGTTTTTTGGACTATTAAATTTTTTTATTGGCTCATCTCGTGAAGCCAAATATAAAAGCCTAAGCTTTTTCCAAAATATTAAAAATAAATAAATAAAAACAAAAAAAAATCACCAAATAAACAAACTCTGAAAATCCGTTTATGGATAGACTTAATAAAAGTCACTACAAATTATTACATTATTATTATTTTATTTTTCTACACAAATTTTTATAAAAAATTAAAAAATCAACTAAAATAATGAATTCTTAAACCATGAACAAAATCGGATTTGGGGTCTGTAGCATTGCTGAATGAATATATATACAAGATTCTTAGTAAGATGAGGTTCTTGCTAAGACAGAACTTAGCACTTGTAAAACCCTTGCCTCAATTTTTCCTATACTTCTCAGCTAAATTAAGCAATCATTTGGTGAGTGAGTATTCATGGGAGAGCCAAACAATGCCTTGAAAGTTATAGCAACCCCCACCAAGTTAAATCAAGAAGATAATTTCTGTGATTTAAAGAGGCTTCAAGGTGGTGTCTACATACTCAATTTCACTGGAAACCTCCAACATATGTAAGCTCTCTCTCTCTCTCTCTCTATACTTACTCAATTTCACTGGAAACCTCCAACATATGTAAGATCTCTCTCTCTCTCTCTCATACATGCAGCGTGCGAGTTTCTTTTTTTGGACCTAGCTTTCCTCCCGTCTATGATAAGATTTAAGGGTGCTATTCGGGCCATGGGCCTTCTACCTATTGGCTCTATTTTAATAATTTAAATTGTTTATTTTGTATAATCCTTTATGTAGATCATTTCGAGAAAAAAATGATAAATTACAAACACATCTCTTGAGATTTACTTAAAATACAGATTGTTCTCTGTAGTTTGAAAAATTATAAATACCCCATTGTTAGAAGTTTTTATTTAACAGAATTAACTAAAAAAATAAATTTTATAATTACTCTCCTATATAATAATAAAATTATCTAAATTATTAATTGAAATATATTTCTAACATCATTAAAAACTGTTAATTGACTTGATGACTTATTAATAAAATGGACGATTTGTTATGAAATTAAAAATCTCAGGAATGAAATGTAATTTTCAAACCACAGGAGGTGATTTGTATTTTAATTAAACTTCAGAGAGTTTATTTGTAATTTATCCAAAAAAAATTGTTGATTTAACAATAAATATGATTTTTAAAATAGACCATTTATTTATTTTTTAAGTAAACATAATAAATTAAATAAATTGTACTTCTTGAATTAGGCTAATTTGTTTACTAGTGATATGCACGATAAACTATACAAAATGAATAATTCCAACTATTAAAACAGGATCCCGTGAGATGGGCTCCACGATCAAGATCATGGACTGGAGAAAAACTCCATCCTCCTTCTTTCTTTCTTTTTAATTACCAAACACAACATTCTTTTTTTAATTACCAAACACAACATAATTGAAAACAAAATTCTCAAACCCAACGGATTTTAAACTTATTTACTAAACTCACTCATTAAAAATGAGAAAATATCATTTTACCTTTAAACTTTTATGTATTTTTTAATTTGAACCCCCAGATTTTGATTAATATTAATTTTACATCCAAACTTTCAAAATTTTGAACAATTTGGCCTCTGCCGTCACATTCCGTCTACAATTAGACAGAATGTGCTAACATTGAATCAAAATTCATTTAGAATTTCATTTTACTCTCCAAACTACACTTTAAAAATCAATTTGCCCCCCCAAATATAAAAAAAAAAATTAAATTTAAATATTTAATCAATATTTTTTTTATCCCAATAATGAAAAAAAATTAAATAATATATACTTTGCAAAAAAAATAATAAAAAATATAAAATCCTAATTTAAAAAGCCTGGATAATTCGACAAACATGTCATACCCGTACCGAGTACTTATTGACGTATGGTATTTCTGCATACGTACCGGGTAAAAAAAACACATACTCAAATTTTTGCTTTCTTAATTTTTGTCGTGCCTAGACGTATCTAGTATATATACCCAAGCTATGCCGTACCTCAGTCAAATCAATATTTTCTTCTACTACAAAGAGAGAATTTCTTTTACTATACTTCTTTTTCATTTTTAATTTTGTGTTTAGTATGGTTTTAAAATTAAGTTATGGTTTGTAAGTTATTTAATATAATGATATTTAATTTTGGTTTATCTTATATCTGTACTTTTGGCATTAAATGTCAATTATATGTTGGATTTAACACATTAAATCATTTAATCAATTTTTGTATTATTCTAAATTCAAAACAAATATTTTTGGGTAAATTATGCAAATGGTCCTTGTAGTTTAGTCATTTTTTCATTTTGGTCCCGTTGTTTCAATTTGATCAATTTTGTCTCTTAATTTTATAGATTGTGTCATATTAGTTCAATAAATAACGACGGTTAAGTTTGATGGACGAAAAATCAAATAATATTTCAATTTGGTCCTTGTAGTTTATAGGAAAGTCAAACTAATATGGACCAAATTGACACATCCTATAAACTACAGGGATTAAATTGAAACATCATATGATTATCCATTCATCAAACGTAATGGCCGTTATTTATTGGACTAATATAACACAATTCGTAAAATTAAGGGGAAAAATTGAGCAAATTGAAACAATAGGGACCAAAATGAAAAAAAAAAGGTAAATTACAAGGACTACTGCAATAATTTGCCCAATATTTTTTTATGTATTAAGCCACATCTATACTCTACTCTTTTTTTTTGGATTTTACCATGTCAACGTACCCATATCGTACCAATATCAGTACTCATACCCGTACTTGTGCTTCATAGGTCTTAAATTATCTCAAGTCGATACTGGAGAAACTTATTGAGCCGAAAAATTCTTGGCTACTCTGTGTGCGTATATGCACAATTGTAACCAGTTTATTACCCATATTAATTTCAATAGAATTGATCGACTAGTAGTAATTTCAAAATTGAGCGGGAATTTTTTTTAAAAATTCAGTAAGTATCTGGTACGGATACGACATGTTTGTCGAAATACCCATACTTTAGTCTCAAGATAATTCTAAATGAGAATTTTTATATTTTTTATTATTTGTTTGCAAAGTATATATTATTTAAAATTTAATTTTTTCATTGTTGAGATAAAAAACTATTTATTAAACATTTACATTTAATTTTTTTATATTTGGAGGGCAAATTGATTTTTAAGGTATAGTTTAGGGGTAAAATGAAATTTCAAATGAATTTTGGTGCCATGTCAGCACATTCCGTCAAATTGTTGACGGAATGTGACAGTAAAGGACAAATTGATCAAAATTTCAAAAGTTTGGATACAAAATCGATATTAATTGAAATCGACGGGTCACATTGAAAAACATGTAAAAAATAGGGGCCAAAATGATATGTTCTCCATTAAAATTGTGTTTTGATTTCATGTTTTTGGAATGAAGTCGTGATTCCAACTACATGACTTCTCTTTAATCCATTGAAAACACTTCATTTTATTTGTTAGGCCACTTTCAATTCTTCATCAAATTTAAATTTGGTAAAAAATTAATTAAAACGGTACTTCAATCATTTTATTAAATTGATATCAAATGAAGGGAGAATTAAATTTTTTATCAAATCAAGAGAGTTTTTGACATTGTATCAAATTTTGTAGGTGGCCGTTGGGCCAAACGCCTGCTCAGACGTCTTTTTGGATAACCAGACTTTCTTTATCTACATGTCTAATTTTACTCATGGTTGGACGTCTACTTGGACAACCGGGCTTGAAAAAAAAATGTGATGAAAATTTTGAATTTATTATTGAAATACATCATATCAGATCAAATTTTTATTCAAATTTAATAAAAATTTTAATGAAGGATTGGAGATACTCTTAGTAAAATAACTAGGTGTAGATTAGAGTATACATTGATATCGCACATGTTCATATCATGACTACAACTTCAATCTACAATTTATTTTAGAGTTATATTTTGAAAATACGATTATAAATTAAAATTATAGGAGAAATTACAAAAAAAATCTTAGGATTAACCTTGAATTATTAATTTTGTCAATTTAAATTATGAATTTTTAATTTGCTTTTGCCTATTTTTTTAGGGAAACTTACGTGTAGGTCCTAATAGGTGGACTTATTGTCCAATAGGTCATATGATAATTAATGGCATTTTTCATTAAATATTATTAAAAAACGTCTTTAATTGTTAATTATCAATGATAGTTTGAAAATTTTATAACAAAAAATGCCACTAATATAAGTTTTAGCGACAGTTTAAAAAAATCGTCACAAAAAAGTCACTCTTCTTCAATTTGTAGCGATAGTTTAAAAAATTCATCACCAAAAAATCAGTAATTGTATGTTTTAACCACAATTCATAAAAGTCATGACAAAAAAGTCACTAATTGTCAATTCTTTGTGACATATGCAAAAAATCGTTATAAAAACTAGCTACGATTTTATTAGGACTTCTTTTTAATAAGAGTTGATGGAAATTAAGTCTAACTATTAGAACTTATTGATAGTTTACCCTTTCATTAAGTACAATCGACGAAAAAAATGGATATTATAAACATTTTATGTATACCTGCATTAAGTTTAAGTTTAATGACTAAAATATTTTTTTTCCGTCGATTTTAGTTAAAAAAAAAGGCAAATGGTTCATATTAAAAACAAATCAAAAGTACGGATTTTAAGTGACAAAATAAAAAACTTAGGGTTTATTTTGTTATAACCTTGGGATTTTTTTGTAATTATCTCAAAATTATATTTTTGCAAAATATAACTGAAAAGACGACCTGAGTTTAATTAATAAATTCAAAACGACTTAGATTTGGAATTTTTATTTTCATACAATGTAGGTTGGTTTCTTTATGTGTTAGACTTTAATTCAAAAAATTATTATTTTTAGTGCAATTTTTTCTAAAAGAAAATTAATAAAACATTTTTGTATAATTTCGGATAGTAGGAGAAATTTAATATGTTTTTTTTTTATTAACTAAGGTCCCTCAATGAAATTTTTCAGTGATCATATTAAAGAAATTTCAAAATTTCTTTGTGAAATTAAAGAAATTTTTCTGTATAGAATTTTCTTTGTAAAAATATTGAAAGACCCCAACTACTATAAAAATATTATATATCATTTATCTTATAAAATCTTAATATCAGACTCTAAAAAAAAATTCTTTGTTTTAACTCTATTCTTTCTTATTGAATGTAAATGTCTGTAGGTTTTCACCAGAGGCTATAAGGTCAATTGACGAATCGCTTGATCAGGTAGGTCTCATAAACATAGCGTGGGAATTATTGATTGGAAAATAAGTTTTGATTCATACAATCTAGTAGTTTAGGGTTCAGTAGTGTAAGAAGTTGGGGTTTTTAAAATAATAACAAAAAACCGGTTGAATCCACAAATTGATTCAATTCGATTTAAACTGTCAGTTTGATCTAATTTCTGGGATAAATTACTAATAGATCTTAATAATTGGATCTAATTCTGATTAAATCCTATTGAAAGTTAGTCTTAAAAAATTGTCGCTAAACATAATTTTTTGTGACCATTTTTTTGCACGTCACTAAAAATTAACAATTAGTGACTTTTTGTCACGATTTTTATAAATTGTCGCTAAAACTTACAATTAATGACTTTTTTGTGACGATTTTTTAAATTATCGTTAAAACTAATAATTAGTGATATTTTTTGTAACAAAATTTTGAAATTATCGTTAAAAATTAACAATTAATGATGTTTTTTTAATAGTGTATGATGAAAAATGCCGTTAATTGTCACATGACTTATTGGACAATAACTCCGCCTATTAAGATCTACACGTAAGTTCCCTTAATTTCTATTAGCTTCCATTCTAAAAATAGAACCATTTAAATCAGTCTGATTTTTTAATTTTTTTTAATTAAAAATTAGCTTGTAAAAGTTACTAGTAAGATTTGAGCATTAATTTTATTATGAAATTAACAAGCTCTAACCAACTTAACTAAAATTAGTTGTTGTTAACTTATTTAAAATTATAAAATATGTATAATATTTTTAGAATTGTAGAATCAAATGGTTTCTATAGTTCGGTTCTGTTACATATTGTCACTTTGTGACTCTTAATTGAAAGTGCACCATCAAAGCACCACAACACAAGCCACTCCCTCACGCGTGTGATGCATCGCACCATTCTTGTGGTGGCTTTGCATGCATACTTGCATTAATTCCACAATTTCATATTCAAAGAAAAAATTTTATAGACTATTTTATCAAGTGTTCCATGTTTTTCTCTCTTTTCCAGTACGAGACAAGTTCTCATAGTTTTGTAACATGCTTTCCAAAGAAAATAAGGAATGTTTTGAAAATGCCTAAAAAACTCGACATTTAATGTTGAAAAATTTTCCAACAGAAACTAAGATGTACATACTAAAGTGAAAGTTATGAACTATTATGAATTATATTGCATTATGCAGTATGCTTAATGACTTACTGTTGAATTGTGACCTTACTACTTACATGATGATTGGATAAAGAAAGTGATGGAGAAAATCTGGATCCCAATTATACTACTCACCATGTTATAGCCATAAACATTTGATTATGTATTATATCTTACTTAAAATACTTATTTTCTTCTCAGTTTGTTTATTTTCTCAGCAACCAACTGAGCCTTTTTAATTTACCAAGTGTAATTGGAATACAGGTAGCAAGGGACAGGAGTGCATGTGCCTTGATCACAACCAACCAGGTAAAAATCATTATTGTATTTTTTTCTTCCCTTTATTCTTTTTAATTCCAAAACAAAGATATATATATATATATATATGCATTGTTATCAAATTTCATCATTGTTGAATTTCTCTTTCTCTAATGATTTTTTTTGATAATTCGTACTTTTTCCACAAAATTTCTACTTAGCCTTATTAACACTAAGATAGGGCTGAATGACATGCTGATAAGATCCAATGAGAATTTTGTTGTAGAAGGATGACTTATTGGAAATTGTTTTTTTTTTCTTTTTTTAGCAAATTATATTGGTAATTCTTACATTTTGCCTCTTATGTTGTTTTGGTGCCTACACTTTCAATTGGCTTAATTTTGATTCTTAATTTTTAGATTTTGTTCCAATTTGATCCAATTAATCTATAACGCCTTTACGGGTTTTGATAGCAAATTATCATTGAGTTGGCCAAGATTAACTCATTGAGTGGTGCAAGTTTATAATTTTGCCCCTAAAAGGATCACCCATGCCACTTGTGTGCACATTTTTCATAAAAAAATACTAACACTTGTTATCAATTGGACCAAACTAAGACAAAATCATAAATTTAAGATTAAAATCGAGCCAATTCAAATTAGAAAGACCAAAATAATATAAGGACAAGAACTAGCGGTAGAATTAGCCCTTTTTGTTTTTAAGCTTCATAGACTAATGATAATACATCCTAGAGCCCAAATCTTGTTTTTATTTTTATTTTTGTTGGATGTGAAATTAGGGTAAATTCTTCTCAAATGGGATGGATGTGAACTACTTGAGAAAATGTGACAGACAAGGAGCCCTTGTAAGTGTGTGCTCTTGAAGTTGGTGCTTTACTTCTTACAAAGTGATTTTTCTTTCTTCTGAAATAGTATTCTTCCTCTGTGTTGTGATCAGGAATATTTACTATTGTTTCAAAAGCTTGTAAGCAAGCTTTTGACTTTTTGTCTCCCAACAATTGCAGTTATAAGGTGAATAATCCCTGCCCAAGCCTCCAACAAAATTGAAAGCTTCATTTTACTTTAGTACTTGTTTTGGATCTGGATTCTCTCCAGCACTTTTTTTTACCTAACAGTTGATTCAAAGGACCTTTGAATCAACTGCAAGATAATGATTGGATGAAGAAAGTGTTAGAGAGGATCCTCTTCCGTCTCTTTGTCGCTATAGTTACCAACATCTCACCCTATTGTTATTATTGAGAAAAAGAATCAAAAGAATTAATGTTAGGAACACATAAACCAACCACTCAGTGTTCAACTTCTCACTATGTTGATGTCTTTGGTGGTGTTGAGAAAAAAGTCCAAAGGTTGATAATAATAAGAATACAGAAATTAATCACAGAACTAACTTTGGACCTTTTTTTAAGGCAGTAAGGAAGAATGATCTCTGTTATACAAAGAAGGAGAAATACCGTGCAGGGTTCACAACCCTAGAGTGTGACAATGTCTGATTCTATTATCAATTTTGTATATATACAACTAAAAATCCAGTAATATCGTTTGGTTTATAATTTTTGTTGCATCAAATTGTAAATGAAAACTTTTCAGGTGCAAGATGATCAAATATTGCCTCATTCCACAAAGTACTTAATTGCAATTTTGCAAATAAAAATCTTGCTTTCAAATGTTGCCTTATCAGATCTTCAACAAGTATTGTAACTTTGTTAGTGTGTGTGTGTGATCTTTGGATGCAGAGGTCATGCAGTTGGAGCTGGCTGTATATATGCAATGGCTCATGATTACAGGCTCCTGATCTCAGACCACCCTGGTTACATCTTCATGAATGAGGTGAAGAAATCTGAAAATAAAATAAAATAAAATAAAATAAAAATTCACTAAAACAAAACAGTTTTTTTTTTTATACTATATTTTCATTTATCTTTGTAGGTTGACTTGGGACTCTCATTAACACCAGGAATCATGGCTGTTCTACGTTCAAAGTTACCCGTATCGACCTTTCAAGAGGCAATACTCACAGGGTATGTTTCCTCAGATGTGGATCGGAAACTTCAAGCTTAAATAAACTATGACTAAATCGTAGAATTTGTGGGAAACTTTAAGTAAAATTGTGTTCTAAGATAATGAATGTTTATAGGAAGCGTTATGATGGGAGAGATGCAGCTACAGCTAGATTAGTTCACGCTACATGTCCCACCGGACCAAGTCTTTTACAAGAGGGGATAAAGAAAGGTTGATCAACTTATCTTTGCACTTCTAATGTCTATGAATTGAAATTAGGATGATTTTACATATTTAAAAAAAATTTCCTTTCATTTTTGTTTAAAGCCATGGAATACAAAGCAAGGAATTGGAAAAGAGAGGTGTATCACGCACTAAAAGTAACCGTTTCTCTTCTATTTTTGACATGATGGATGAATGAAATCACATTTGAAATTATGATGTAAACAACATAGTCTTTTTTGCTTTTGCTTTTGTTTTTGTTTTGTGGCAGATGGAGATGTTTCAAACCACGGTTAGAGAGCTCGAGAATGGGGGAGTTGGATTTGCAAGGCTGTGATTTTTATTTTTATTTTTTATTTTTTTTCCCAGTAATTAGAGTGCATGAATTCAAGAAACAATTCCATTTTGCAAATAGGCTAAAGTGAAGGAAATATCAATACATTTTCTATAAATTAACTTATACATTTCATTACAAATGAATCAGCACAATTCAACTACAAAAAAAACAGTTTCAAAGATTTGTAGTTATGCATCTGTGATATATATATATATACACATTCTATAATCAGTTCAAATTCACATCATGAAGATCTGAAAGAGGCTTATTTGATGAAGAATGGTCTTGAACCTCTCTCTTGCTTTGGATAGAAACCGAGGAATCAGTCCATGGCCTATCGGTTCTTTGCATTTCACTCCCTTCATCAGAGTATGCAGAGACTTGTGTATGGCTATCTTGTGAATGCCCCTCAAAGGCTTTAAACCTCACGTTCTCGTTTGTTGAAGTACGTTTGATTAGTGGTGCTTGTATGGGACTTTTGCCTTCGAGCATGCTCACCACAGAAGACATGGATGGCCTGAGAGTCGGAGATGGATTGGTGCACAAAAGACCGACATTCACCATGTTCATTACCTCTTCTTCAGAGTAGTTTGAACCGAGACTCAGATCCAAAAGCTCTAGAAGGTTTCCTTGCTCTTGTAGGACATAAGCCTTCAATCCAATGCAGAAACAAAAGACTTAAAACTTTAATTATCTCATGTAAAAGTAAGCAATTATAAAGCATTAATATGCGAAAATTGCATACATAGATGTGGTGACTATAAATGGGGATTTTTGGTGTTTTCTATCAAGAAGACACTCAAAATGAAATCACAATTTTTTTTAAAAAATTTATTATCTTTTTTACTGATTCTGAATGAACTACATTGAAAAGATCTGAGTGCATAATCTCCACTCATAGCTTTTCACATCACACAAACTGGTGAAACTCAATTGTTTCACAATGCATTTGAAATGACATCATTAAATAAACAATTAGGTCAAAACATTCCCAAGCAAGGACAAGTGAAAAAAAGGATTAATTACCCAATCAAGAAGGTAAACAAACTCATCCCTTGGTCTGTAATTTGTGTTGCTTTGCCCACTAACAATCTCTAGTGCAACAACTCCAAAGCTATAGACATCTGCTTTATCTGTCAAGTAACCCCTCATTGCATACTCAGGAGCCATATATCCTCTGAAAACACGGGAAACAAAAAATCAGAAAGTACTGAACAATAATCATTAAGGTCTTGAAACTCAACTTGATTCAACAAACAAAGCCTCAATGCCAACTAATAGGGGCAACTAGTTCCAACACTAATCCTTAGGGTCCTTAACATATTCACATGCATCCTTAAAATAAAATCATCACTCAAAAAGTATAGTTCTTAACGACAATTATTTCTTTTCAATGATGTGAAATAAAAATCAAAAATAAAAATGGAGCTTATAAAATGGGTGGAAAAAACTCACCTGGTTCCAGCAATACGCGTGCTAATATGGGTGTTCTCCTCTTCATTGAGTTTGGCCAAACCAAAGTCGGATATCTTAGCATTCAGATCCTTATCAAGCAACACATTGGTGGCCTTAATGTCTCTATGAACAATTTTCAACCTGGATTCCTCATGAAGATAAGCTAATCCCTTTGCTATCCCTAAGCATATCTTTTGTCTCGTTGGCCAGTCCAGTTTTAGCCGTTGTTCCTCACTACCTAGGAAAAACAAAAAAGGAGTGGAGGGGAGGGGGGAGAGAGAGAGAGAGAGAGAGAGAGAGAGTTACTTCATCATAGTCATTTTAAGAAAGAATTAGAAGTTGGGCACAATCAATGCATTTGCAGAAATACAAGACAATTGTAACCCATTTGGAAAAAGAAATTTCAATAAAGATGGAGAAAAAAAATTTGAAAACAATAAATTAGAAATCAGACATGCGTGACATAAGTTCACACCAAGTGAGTAGTGGGCTTTGTATAACAATATAGATATAAAACACTATGAATGATGAGAATGAAGCAATTACCAAAGAGTGCACGGCCAAGACAATTATTTTCCATGTATTCATATATTAGCAACAACTGGTTTCCTTCAATACAACATCCGTAGAGTTTGACAAGATTCGGGTGTTGCAAGGCAGATATCATGCCTATCTCATTGACAAATTCACGATTTCCTTGCTTTGATTTGGAGGAGAGCTGCTTAACAGCGATTACAGTACCGTCTGACATTACACCCTGCATTCAAGCATTGTGATGAAAGAAACATGGTAAACATAGTATACGAGATGGGAACATATAATAAGAATAATTGTTTTCTTCTTGATTGTATATTATAAATTTATAACTTGCATGAAGATTACCTTGTAAACTGGCCCAAACCCTCCTTCACCAATCTTATTTGCAGGGTCAAAGTTATTGGTAGCAGTTTTGATCTGTCTCAGGGTGAAATAACCAGTTTGCATTTCGAGTGCTCGAAGTTCTGTAACAAATTACAGAGATTTTTAGTTTCTTTGATTTTTCATTTTTCTTTCTTAACACAACCTACAAAGATCAAATTGTATGTGTCACCATTTATTTTATTACTATCAACATAAAATTCCCAAGGAATTTTATAAATTTTGAAACTCATTGAAAAGCACAAGCATCCATCCTAGTGAATCCAACATACAATAGCAATGAAATAGTGACGAAGAATAATTTCATATGCAAAATTCCTCGAGTGTCGTATTTCACCTTTATTTTCAAGGTCTTTCCCTCCAAGGTAACCTTTCTTTCGGAGTACAACCAGGATCAACACAAGGAACAGACATGAACCAACCACAATGCCAACAATAGCTCCAACTGATAATCCAGTATGAGGGTCAAAATCTACAAGAAAGGGAAAGATCATTCTCTCACAAGATAGTGTTAGATTACCAATTATCCCAAAAGATTAAGTTGTTAGAAAATAGGTCCAACAATGTATATCAAATTATTCAACACCGCCCCCTCATGTACAACCCCGTTTTGCACGTGGAAATGCAAACATTCATTAAAAAGAACGCAAACGGATCCCAACCTAAGTTCTGATACCATGTTAGAACACCAATTATCCCAAAAACTTAAGCTGTTAGGAAATGAGCTCAACAATGTATTTCAAATTATTCAACAGATCAAAGCAAGAAAAAAAAGAGTAAGTTGGAATAGAAGATGTACTTACTTGGTGTCACTGTAATGGCAGATATAAGAGGTCCATATATACCTCTGTTCGGAATTGCAGTAGTCCCTTTCCCTCTCCAATATAGGTGGATTTCCAAAGTGCTACCGTTGACAAGAACATCATTAAAAACCTTAGTAATGCCCTTGCCAACACCTTTAGCTTCCTCCACAATATTAAAATCATTCAAAACTACGTTTCCCTGAAGGAGTAAATTAACACTTGACTTGATCTCTCTTTTTGAGGCTAAAAAATCAGTAGTACAGAAAAGAAATAGCAGATAAAGAAATTGGTGTTCATACAAAATTGCTAAACAGTACAACGGCCTCTTAACTTACTTGGATTGATACATCAAAGATGCGTTGCCCAAGGCTGCTAAATGTCTGATCATCTGAGTACATGATTTCAGCAAAATGGAGGAGTACTTTATAACTACCCTTACGCAAACAAAGCCCGTAGTACTTCAGTGAATTAGGGGCAAGGCGGGCTGTTTCATAATAGTCTCCAGTCAATTTCAAAGAGAATGAGTTGTTTGCTCTATAACTGGCATCACTCTTGCCCATGAAAACCCCCGTGCTGCTATAAGCCCATTTTTGCAAAGAAGGATAGAAGTATGATGCACCCTCGGTGGCTAAGTCCTCTTCGTATTCATTCCCCTCAAAGGTTATTTTGCCTCCTCCGCAATTGATAAACAAAGAATGATCTGCATAAAATAGAAACCATAATACAGGATACTTAACAAGGATCTTTGGATAATAAATAGTTAAAAATTTGCCAAATCATTACAAAAAGAAAAGAAAAGAAAAGAAAAGAAAAGGTTAAAACTTTGCCTCCAAAGCATAATAGAAGAGTTTGGCATCCTTATGCTTACATTTGGGTTTATTGGAGCAAGGGAGGTCCTTCTTGAAGCACCAGTCAATTCTACAAAATAAGTTTAGGTTCGGTCACTCATAATATCTCATCTACTGGTGTTTAAATAAGTAAAATAAGCATATGGTTTACTAGATAAGGAACTTTACGTGTTGCTCGCTGCAGATGAATGACTGGAAACTAAATTCCTGTTGAACAATATACAAATGGGTGATTTTTCGATGACATGAAAAATTGGAACTGATATATAAAATTAATAACGAAAACAGCTTACACCCTCGATGGCTGGCAACCAAACAAAGATGACTCTGTGAAGTTGTTGTAAGATATATCACTGCAGTAGGAATGAACATGACATTAGTGATGAATTTCTTGGTAATCAAGCCCACTGTCAACCTCATTATGACATTAGTGATAACTTTCTTGGTGATCAAGCTCAATGTCAACCTCATTATGCTTCACAGATTGAAGTATGGAAAATGCATGGGTAACCATCTTTTGTAGCCAAAAATAATAATCAGAAGATTGGAGAAATACTAACATATAATTTTTGCTGTTAAGAATCCAATCGGGTACTGCTCCACTTAGTGAGTTGCTAGTCAGAAGCCTACATCAGTAGACAATATTATATCTAACATTGAATAAAAATCAATCATGAATCAAACAACCAACTTGAAACATAATTAGCAAAAGAGGTAACTATTTGAAAATTAGTTGCTTACATATAATTTAGATTAGAACTCTGAAGTGTTCCCGGAATTTGACCAGTCAACATGTTGAAGCTCAGGTCTCTGCAAGCAAAAAGCACATACTACCAAAATCATATAAAACTACCTAACAGAATGGGGGGAAAATAAACCAAAAGATGACTTTAATGTGATTTAATTTACATCCACTTTGTTCCCCAATAATTTCTAGGACTCAAACAGATCCTAGACAGCAAATCTTAAAGAAAATTTGTTTCATAAAATCCGAAGGATAATTTTGGTATGCACAAAAGGGGTAAGAGGTATAGATGAATAACAGTAGACAATGAACATATATGAAATTTAAAGGTCTGATTCATCTCCATGATTAGTAAATGGCTAGCTGATTCATTGAAGTATCAAGGTGGTTATAGAGTTCTTAGTTTTCTTCAAAAACAGAAAACAAAACTACCATAACAAACAATGTGTCAAGTCTTTCCATTTTAAACTACAATCTCCGGATATAATATAACATGTCAAATTAAATAAAATGGCAAAACTACTTAATTCAAGAATAAGAACACAAATAAAACATTTTTATGTTTAGAGATATCAAATCAATATTAACTTAAAATCTAGAAACTATGAATCTCTGTAAGAATGCCAATTATAATGAACTTACAAAAGTTTGAGATTAGGCAATTCACCAATGTAATCTGGGATTGGACCAGTAATTAAGCAATTTCTCAGTATCCTATGTAACAAAAATAAAACAAACAAATTGGTTAGGTAACCACACCACAAATTGATGACACAAGATTGCACTCTTCCCATGAATTACATCTGGATTCAACTTACAGTGTGTTCAACATTTTCAACTCCTGCAGATTAGGGAATTTCATACTTGATTTCATACTTGATCCATTCAGATCAGATATCCTCCTGGAAAATCAAGATGCAACAGATCAGGTAGCTTCATCTTTCTACATTCTCAAATCTATAAGCATAAAAAATCCTTGAATTTCTTCTTGGTTGAAACAAAGGACTAAATAGGTTAAAGTAGTTTGGAATGTAATTAAATAAGTCCTCACAATTCAGTTAAGTTTTTCAGTTGGGCAATGGTCGAAGGAATGGGGCCGTCCATAGATGCGCTTTGCATGTCCCTGAAACAGATTCAAATTAAACATTCATGTGAGATGCTCTTAAGTTAAAAAATAACAATAATAATTTGTTGGAATGAATGGTGTACTCACAATCTCACAATTTTTGTCCAATTCCCAATCAGATCAGGTATCTTCCCAGATAGTGCATTCCCGTCAATCCTACTGCAATCAGTGAACGAAATTTCAGAATTATTGAGGATCAAGACTAGTAAATGTCCAAAGAATTACCACTTACAAATTTGTCAAGTTCTTTAGGTTGATGAATGTTGCTGGAATTGTTCCCGTAAAATTGTTAGCAGAAAGATGCCTGCAGGAAACAATCCATTATGAATTCCATTGAAACAACATGAAAAATAGGACTAGTAGTAACAACAATGATTGATAAACAATGTGGTTTGTAAAGTATTCAATTGTATACTTCCAATGAAAGATACCGTTAGTGTGAAATAAATAGAAAAATGATTATCAATCTTACAGTCTCTTCAAATGGCTCAAACTTCCAAGATTTTGAGGAAGAGGTCCTCCAAGCCAATTATCTTCCAAGATCCTGAATAATATAGTTCGTGTTAAATCCAAGGTCAGGCTTCATCCATTAGTCAAATAGATTGGAAAGTATCCATGACTTACAGATCCTCAAGAGTAGCAATGTCTCCAATTTCCATTGGAATTGAACCACTAATTCGGTTTCCCAAAAGTGACCTGTAATAGGACAATGTTTAATGTCCTATAATAACGAGTCTAACTGCAAAACAAATAGCTAATAGGAAAACGATCTTACAGATTCAACATATTATGAAACTTACAAAATGGTGAGAGGAAGCTTAGCAAAAGATTTCGGAATTGATCCATTGATGTAGTTGAGAGAGAGATCTCTGCGTTGAAAAAAAATAATAAAAGTATTTCTTAGTTTTGGCCAATTTCAAAATGGTCATTAGATTGAACGGTGCCAACCTTCCAAGTTGGTTGGTTTCTACTGGGATGTTAAAGGGGCCGTAAAAATGGTGCTAGTAAAAAAGTTGACAAAACGTACTCGGGCTAGTTCAGTTGGCCAGAGTTCTTGCACCTCAATAGGAGTTAAGGGTTTGATTCCTCCCGTAGTGATTGTAATCTAACTGACGATTTACGGAATAATATCTTTCCGCTTCATTGATGTGGTTTCTCAGTTCACATGTTGAAAGAATTTGCACAAAAAAGCATCGGGAACACAATAAACTTCTTTCTAGTCAAGTGAAGCAGAATCATCTACTTTAATTTTGTTTGGACATTTAAACAACACTTTATGGTTTAGTCTTCATGATCCAAAAAATCTATTTGTACATAAACAAAGTAAAAAAAGGGCCTAATGAACCAACAAGGATCATTCATCGCTATGCTAATTGGCTTCTAAATGTAACTGAAATGTGTTGCTTACATTTCATGCAGATGAGTAAGATTTGCAAATTCTGCCGGTAGACTTCCTGTTAAATTTTGACCCTTCAACTGGCTGTAATCCAAAAGATGAAATCAGAGGAAGTAATATAGAATTAATAAGCAAAGGAAAATTACCTAGGGATTGTATTAATTCATGTATGTCAGAAATTATCATTAGGGTTTTTCAAAAGTAGAACTAATTTCTTAAACTAATGGTAGCAAAAAGTTTGAAAACAAAGTCATAAAATTGCAAGTTCTGTCCTAAAAATTTCCATGGAAACAGGCACTCGGTATTTTTAACAAGCTTTCAGTTTTTGCCAAGGACTATATTGCACTTAATAACAGAAAGTAAAAAAGTAAAGAAATCATTTTAATTTTGTCAACTAAGCTACCAGCAACATGACTAAAGCTAAAAAATTAATAACATTATAAAATTATAAAATTAAAATTATATGTTTTGCATGTGTGCATTTTTTGAAAATTTGTGTGTTCGCATGTCGTTTCCATGCTTCTTAGGTTCAAGATCTCATACACAGTAGAAAACAGGAATGATAATATGGCTTTTTCCAATTTAATTACAGTTTATTGACAATAGTCAGCAGATCTCAATTGTGAGTTCCAACTATTATAAACTATTGATTCCATTTCACAGATTGATTCAACTTCTGTTTACAGATGGGGTTAAGAAGAGAATTGACAAAAAGATCAGTGTTTCACAGCCTGCATGGCCAATTACCTCACGATGTTTACTGTTGAAGTGTGAGTATTTCACACTTCACACCCCTCACCTGCAAATCTTTTGGCATTTCACTCGTAGAATACTTCAAATACCCCTTCATTTTATAATATGTTACACCCCTTTTAATATTTGAATATTGGAGTCGATACTTCACCATCCATGGCACTTGTTTTTCGTTAATGGAACAATAACCATTCTAATAATATACTAATTCGCACTGACAATCTACAGGGAAAATAAAATACGCCTACAGACTATCATTACCATCTAACCTCCAATCATACACATTTACTTTGACCAACCCACTTGCATTGGGCGCGCAAAAGGGGAATATTTTATTAATATTTTAGCAATCTTAATACTCTTTTGTTTATATCTCAACCTCAACTGAGAAAATAAATTAAGCAACGCAAGTTCAATACAACTGAAATCGCTTGCTGAAACACTTTCAACAACACCAGTTTTTATATCGTCAACCTCCATCCACCTGAACATTACAAATAAAATTGCTTATCAAAAAATAATTCTAAACAGTTTTAAAATACATTTGACTCCTTAACGTAATTTTGCATTCTTTTCCGCTAACAATAGTAGCCACTAAATATATCACACCCTTCTAAATACTCCTCACATTTCCCACCAACGTATCTTTGTAATCCGTCCAAACATTAACTGGGTAGAACCGATCCAGAACCTTTATTACATGTCGAACATACTCTTTGTCCTTACCACCGACAAGCTTGAATCTCATTTTCTTCAGCATATGAAACCTATCAAACTGATTAGGATCAACAATCCAAGTCTCAGGGTTATCCTCACCAACACCAATAAATATCTTGTGGGGACGAAATCTGACAGGCTATTATCACTTATAATAAAAAACAGAATGTGATGCACCACTGCTTCCTCTTTGGCGTCTTGTCTCAATTGAACATTCCCAATTAATTTTATACCCTTAATCACGATTTTGTCCGATTGACGGTCACTTCTTTTATTTTCCAACTCAATCCCATTTAGCAATCTCGCCACACCTTTGTTATCAAATGTAACGTTCCTTAATTGTTCATCATACAGTTGTAACTTCATTACTCCCCTCTTGTTCTTTTTAATGTATTAAGGAATATTCTGCACATACCATCTGTGAACATACGCTGCCCTAAAAGGTGCACGACCACGGTAATTACGCTTATATCCACTGACAATCGGTGTTTTTGACCTCCGATACACAAGAGGAGTCTGATACTAATTGCTTACTACTTCTTTCATTTTTTTAAAAACACTCCAACTCTCCTACAACAAAATTACCTCTAACCAAGATTTTAAAAAGCAGTCGCAACCATTACGTAACACTATTACATAACGGTTGTGGTAGTTACGTTACCGCTACCCGTTACGACCGCTATAGCAATGTAACGGAAATTTATATGTGTAATGGCCGTTTCGATATTACGTAACGGCCATAGTGGTATCGTAACGGTCTGTTAGATACCGTTACACCCTTTTACAATATTTTGAATAGCTTCCTTTTCCCAAAAAAAAAAAAAAAAAAAAAATTACAAATACTCAAGTGATCCAAGCCCAAAAAAAAAATCTTATATGAATTTTTTTCCTGAATAAATTTTTTTTTTTAATTTATGGCACAATTTTTATTTTATAATTCTTTCATTTAATAATTGTAAATATTTTTTATTCAGTTAGTTTAGGTATTGGTAAAAAATAATTTGTAAACATTTAAAATTAATTATTCTTAAAATTATTAACTATTGAAATAAAATGTAAAAAACTCATTTTATAGTGATTTGAAAATATGAAATATATTGGATCATACTTAAAAATTAATAAAAATTAACCAAAATTTATTTTAAACCCTAATAAATGTGATTCTTAAAAAAAAAAAAAATATGCATATCGGTAAGTTTTCTTCATATTGTGAGAAAAAAAAAAAAAATCACGGTTCCAGTTACCACAAGTATTATGCTACGATCTTTACACCCCACAACCACTATCGCGTTACCGCAACCGCTTTTCAAAACCTTACCTCTAACAGAGTCAAACACAAAATTTGCGCAGTCAAATTCAACCAAGTTGAATGCACTAAAGTTCATCCTCATAACTCAAGTCCAAAAAGATGGCTTTTGCCACAAGTCATTTGACTATGCACAATTTAATACTGCCTTCTTTATATCTTCTCCGCATCCCCATTTTCCATACATGCAGGCAGCACATATACTAGTCCACAAAACTAAAATATAATATATATACTATTGAAGAAATATATAAATAATAAAATTACTACTTTATCTATTAGTTTAAATTTAAACTTTTAGATAATTTGGTGGCCAACAATTCGCAAACAGGTTAAAACTTTTTACAATTTAACATATATATATATATATATATCTATAAATAGTAGTTGAAAGTGGGGCACTAGATTTGAATTTAAGAACATTCACTTAGCTTACTAAAGAACACTTTCATCACTTAAATAATATAGAAAATATGTTATAAATTCAAAATTATAATTTATATTTTAAGCACACCCATTGGGTGAACTCACACCCTTAGTGTATATATATGGAAAATTACACCCTTAGTGGTCCTTGTATTTTGCCTATGTGTCAATTTAGCCATTGTAATTTTAATTGCATCAATTTTATCTTCGTACTTTTCATATTGTGTCAATTTAATATGATTGATTACACATTTTAGAAATTTGATTGAAATAAATTGGCAAAATAATCCTTTCACTCTCCTCAAAGTGTTTGAAGAATTGACATCAAAATTAAAATGGTTTATTCCTTTTTTAATAGACCATTTTACCCTTAATTTCTTTTCAATTTTTAAACAAATATTATTAATGGATTAAATTGACACAATATGAAAAATTAATGAGCAAAATTAATACAAAACTATATGGACTAAATTAACAATAAAAGTTAAATAAAAAGGCTACATGCATAATTTGCCATATATATATATATTCCATACACCTCAACTTCTTGGCTATTTTTCATAATAAAAATGCAATGTACCATAAAAATTTATCGTAAATCTTATGCCGAAAATGAGTGTAATATAGATTTAAAATTAGTGAGATGTGACTCATGTGAGTCGCACCACGAATGTGAACATTGATTCCTTTTTCTAGACATATAGTATTATTGCTTCCCCAAAAAAATAATAAATTTTCATTCACTATTTGAATCTTATAGGTTGTGTTTAAATCATGAATTTGACTAGAAATTTAAAAAATTTAGAAAATAAAAGAAAAGTTGTGAGTAAAATGTAAATAAAATATAGGTACATTTCAATCACATTTTTCCTTTTGCTTTTCAAATCCCTATCCAACTTCAAATTCAAATTCAAATTCAAATTCAAACACATATTCCTACCCAAAGTGTATATGAAAAGTTGGAAGATATTTAAAGAGTAGGTCATACATGTTGGTGATGTGGCAAACATTGTTGGTGCAATTGCAAGTAACATTGCTAAGAATCAGGCCAGGAACAGTCACATTCACAACACTACCTCCATTGCAGAAACTTCGGCTAAGGTTCCAATGTTCAAAGTGCAGTTTTTCTGTTATTGTTTCAAGAGCTCCAACTGCGCTGTCCAAAATTGGTTTGCATCAATAATAAAATACCAAATAATCATCTCATTCATTTCAATTTCAATATCTACATTGTAAAATTTAAGCTAGTGATATTTTCATGTACTCTCTTTTTGGCATGCCATATTTGGGCTAAAATAGTTACAAAAAGATAAAATAAGCTAAAAAACCAATAAGACAAAATATCACATTTAAACCATAATCATTTCATTCTTTCTCTCACAAAAGTCAAAAAAGTTAAAAAGTTTATCCTAAACGAGACTTTTTAGCCCCAGACTAAAATAATCAAAAAGTCAACTCACATCCCAAATGAAAGCTAAATCTATTAAGGTTGGGGGTTGGGAGGCCATCAAATTTATTTGAGGCGAAAAGCGAAAAATTTAATTGACCTCTTTTTGATTTTTTATACTATAATTTTTGTTATTTTGATTAGGCTCTCCATGCACAATTTTGATTAAATGCTCTTTTTATGGAAAGATTAAGATAATTAATAAAGTGATATTCTTTTTTGATAATTTAATATTAAACCATATTTAAAATAATTTATAGAAAAAAATTTAGTTACTTTTTTATATTTTATAATTATTTTGACTAATAGTTACTTTTATGTGTATACATATGGTGAAAATATAATAAGTGGAGTCATCCATTTCTATTGGGGCCTAAGCAAGCACCTAAGCTGCCACGATTGACTAGTTAGATGAGAGGTTGTTAGTGATTTTACGGTTGTGGTGAGAGAGGTTGTGATTGGCGAAAAGGGTACAGTTATAAAGTAAAGGTATTCAGAAAATATTATCGTATTCATATCAGGTATTGATACGCATATCGATAGAATTGCATATATACTAAGTACTCGAAATATGTTACGGATACTTTTTATATATTCTTTAGCACTTTGGTATTCTGTGAATATTTCGTGGGTATGGGATGGGTACCTCAGGAGTACACCAACTTAGGAAACATTGTTGAAGATACGTTTAATTTATTAGAGAGTTTTGATTTATTTATTTATTTATTTTTCAGAGTTCTGATTTTTTTGAAATTGTAAATTATTTACTTGATGTGCCTGAAATGAAAGATGTATTATTCAATGATGAAATTGATGAAAGTAATAATTGATAACTTTAGATGATAAAATGATTTATAACATTTGGTGTTGTTTGACATTGATCATAGTTGAAGTATAATAGAGAGAAGACGTGTGATATCAAGAAAATATAAAATAGAAAGAAAAAAAAATTTAAAGATAATTTTATATCATTAAAAAATAATAAAAATATATTAAAAAATAAGATATTTTTTAAATAATACATAATTGGGTCGAGGGTGAGGCAAGATTATCATCTCCATACCCTACCTGAACTTTATGAGGTCTCTTATTTTCACTCTCGAATCTGACCCTATCATATTGAGAAATCCCAACCTATTTTATTTAAATATCTTACTAATAACTATCCTTAAGATACAAATAAAAGATAAAATATTTACAAAACACTATATTTTTTATTAATTACATTACACTTGAAATTAATATATTTTCAAGCATGTTTTATTAGCATTTGCCTGTACGTAGATGCATGCATTAGATGTCTCAAATCAAGCAGCCAAGTAGGTCCCAATATTGAAAACAAAATTGCTTCACAGCTCTAAAAGAGCACCTCTAAACTTAGCATTAAATTGCCTTCTTCTGACCCTTGTTTTGTCTTTTTCTGTTTTTTTTTTTTTTTTTTTTTTTTTTTTTTTTTAATTGGTTGCCAGAGCAACTCTACTAGAGCTTTCCATCACTGCTGTATTGAAAATGAATTGGAAAAAGGTCCAAACAAGGTAAAAATGAAAGGGAGCGGCTTGCTTCCCGTCTGAGATCAGATTGAACGGTATTGTTCGACTCGTGGAGATCCACCACGGATCTTATTTTGATAATCTGAACCGTTCAATATGTAGAATTCGTCGAGTACTATATATCTGTAAAAAAATTACATTGATCGGATATCAATAGCTATCTCACCGGATCAATTTTTTGTCAACCATTAATTTGTTCACTGTCCATTTTTTTTTATATACAAAACTGATTTGATCACATAGTTATCGATATCCGATCAACGTGATTTTTTACAAGCATATAGTACTCGATGAGTTCTACACATTGAACGGTTCATATTATCAAAAAGGGACCCGTGGTGAGCACTCACAGGCCAAATAGTACTGTCCAATCGGACTGGAGGCAAGCTGCTCTCAAAATGAAAAGAGTAATGATTGAGACCCCCCACAAGATCCCCATAAATTTAGACCACTCATGATATGAACCCCACACATACATGAGTAGACCCCATATATACATAGAGGGTTAGGATCACTCTAGATGTGTAGGTGTCATCTCCAAAGAAAATCCAAACATTTTTTCTTTTTAAAAAAAAAAAGTAAAAATGAAAATGACATCACTGCTAATAATTGACATGACATGTCACCGTTTAACAGAATCACGGACTACTTCGACCTCACTTGAATAATTTTCTGATTTATTAATTTTTTATAAGATAAAAAAATTAAGGAATTAAGAAAGATTTTTTTTTAAATTTTATAATAAAAAGTGAATAAATGATATATGTAATTTAATTTTTTGTATTTGTTTTTAAGTTTCACTTTTTTAATATATTTTATATATATATATATATATATATATATAGAGAGATTGTGCCTGAAATGAAACGATGTTATTATTCAATATGAAATTGATGAAAAGTTAATAATTGATGAACCCTTAGATAGAATAAATAATGGTGACTTTATAATTAAGTACATCTTAATTTGGTGTAGTTCCTAGTGATTCGACTATTGAGATCATTTGATAGCGGTTAGATAGGACGATGTTAATAAGATGGAGATGTTAGACAGTGGAGAGTGACTATTATGCCGATATGAAAATAATACATATATCAAGAATTAAATGGGAAAGAAAAAAAAATTTAAAGATATTTTATTAATTAAAAAATAATAAAAATATATTAAAAAATAAGATATTTTTAAATAATACATAATTGGGTCGAGGGTGAGGCAAGATTATCATCTCCATACCCTACCTGAACTTTATGAGGTCTCTTATTTTCACTCTCGAATCTGACCCTATCATATTGAGAAATCCCAACCTATTTTATTTAAATATCTTACTAATAACTATCCTTAAGATACAAATAAAAGATAAAATATTTACAAAACACATATATTTTTATTAATTACATTACACTTGAAATTAATATATTTCAAGCATGTTTTATTAGCATTTGCCTGTACGTAGATGCATGCATTAGATGTCTCAAATCAAGCAGCCAAGTAGGTCCCAATATTGAAAACAAAATTGCTTCACAGCTCTAAAAGAGCACCTCTAAACTTAGCATTAAATTGCCTTCTTCTGGACCCTTGTTTTGTCTTTTTCTGTTTTTTTTTTTTTTTTTTTTAATTGGTTGCCAGAGCAACTCTACTAGAGCTTTCATCACTGCTGTATTGAAAATGAATTGGAAAAAGGTCCAAACAAGGTAAAAATAAAGGGAGCGGCTTGCTTCCCGTCTGAGATCAGATTGAACGGTATTTGTTCGACTCGTGGAGATCCACCACGGATCTTATTTTGATAATCTGAACCGTTCAATATGTAGAATTCGTCGAGTACTATATATCTGTAAAAAAATTACATTGATCGGATATCAATAGCTATCTCACCGGATCAATTTTTTGTCAACCATTAATTTGTTCACTGTCCATTTTTTTTATATACAAAACTGATTTGATCACATAGTTATCGATATCCGATCAACGTGATTTTTTATAAGCATATAGTACTCGACGAGTTCTACACATTGAACGATTATATTATCAAAAAGGGACCCGTGGTGAGCCCTCACAGGCCAAATAGTACCGTCCAATCGACTGGAGGCAAGCTGCTCTCAAAATGAAAAGAGTAATGATTGAGACCCCACCCACAAGATCCTCCCATAAATTTGGACCACTCATGATATGAACCCCACACATATATGAGTAGACCCCACATATACGTAGAGGCCCGTTTGTTTTGGGTTATAGCAAGGGGACTAGGATTACTAGTACCTTGGGATTAGTAGGGGTGTTTGTTTTGAGAGATAGCCTTGGACTATTAATACTTGGGACTAACTAATACTTTGGTATTACTAATACCTTGTTTGTTTTGAGAGATAGGGAGGGTACTACTAATACCTTGGTATTACTAAACCTAGGGGAGGAGATTCATAGTGAGGAGGTAGAGATGGTATTAGAAAAATAGTGAGGGATTAGAAATTTTTTTATTTTTTTTATTTTTTATATATTGGAAATTTTTTAAAAATATAATTTTTAATTTTTTATATTTTTTATTTGTTTTATATTTTATATAAAAAATAATTTAACAATTCCTCACTACTAATCCCCTCACTATCAATCCCCTCAACTTACTATCCCTCACTATCAATCCCCTCACTAACAATCCCCTCATTATTAATCCCTCCTATCAATCCCCTCCATTTTATCTCTGAAAACAACGACCCTCACTAACAATTCCCTCACTATTAATCCCTCACTATCAATCTCCTCCATTTCCATCTCTGGAAACAAATCACTTTAAATGTGTAGGTGTCATCTCCAAAGAAAATCCAAACATTTTTTCGTTTTAAAAAAAAAAAGTAAAAAATGAAAATGACATCACTGCTAATAATTGACATGACATGTCACCGTTTAACAGAATCACGGACTACTTCGACCTCACTTAATAATTTTCGATTTATTAATTTTTTATAAGATATAAAAAATTAAGGAATTAAGAAAGATTTTTTTTTAAATTTTATAATAAAAAGTGAATAACTGATATATGTAATTTAATTTTTTGTATTTGTTTTTAGTTTCACTTTTTTAATATATTTTTATATATATATATATATATATATATA